GTAAAACAATTAACTTATATTAAAGGTCCCATGTCATGCTTTTCTGGTTATCACCCGTCCCCTTGTGTTATGAAGGTTTGTATGCATGTAAATGGTCTGCAGAGTCACAAACCCTCAAAGTACACCCTGTAGCGAGTACAACTCTAACACAGAAAATACCTCCCCAAAACGCCTCGTTGGAGATACGTCATTGTCCATTTGATTCTTCCGGGGACGCATGAGGTCAACCGTACCCGGAACGAAATGGACCAATCCGTGGAGCCGTTACGTTACGTCCGTGGAGCCGTTACGTTAAGCCCCCGCTGATTGGTCCAAATTGACCAATCCACGGACTTCCTCACACATTCAGTGCAGGCAGCTCAGCTGATCTCTCCTCCCTGCCTGCAGGCTGATAACAGACCGTTGGGATCTCTCTCTGCAGACCCGTTCTCTCTGCAGACCCGTTCTCTCTGCAGACCCGTTCTCTCTGCAGACCCATTCTCTCTGCAGACCCATTCTCTCTGCAGACCCGTTCTCTCTGCAGACCCATTCTCTCTACAGACCCATTCTCTCTGCAGACCCATTCTCTCTGCAGACCCATTCTCTCTACAGACCCGTTCTCTCTACAGACCCGTTCTCTCTGCAGACCCGTTCTCTCCGCTGACCCATTCTCTCTGCAGACCCATTCTCTCTGCAGACCCATTCTCTCTGCAGACCCGTTCTCTCTGCAGACCCATTCTCTCTGCAGACCCGTTCTCACAGCGTTTATCAACCTTTTTCTTACTCAATATCAAGCCACACTTATTGTTTTTACTTCAGCTGTGACTTTGTGTGTGCTCAGGGTGAGTTTCGCTGTGTTTCGCTGTGTATCGCTAAACAAGGAAATCACACCTCCACGGAGCTTAGCGCGATTCACAACGTCCCGACCAATCGCAGCACACTGTGCTCACAGGGAGGGGGGGGAGGGGTGCTGGAGCTATCGGAGCTCCAACGAGCCGTTAAAGGCAGAGAGTGAAATTCAGTGAATACACGTAGTTTACAGAGATGCTGTATGAGAAACCAATGTGAGTTTGGAAAATTGAACAATATAAATCTATTCTAGTCGACCTCAACAATGGAACTATGATCAGTGGAAATGGCCATGACATGGGAGCTTTAAAACTAAGTTATTAGAAACTATAATTTGGCAATTTTTCCGGTTTTCTGTGTCCTCCTGTCCAACTTAAATAAACAAAAAGAAAAAAACAGCTCTATTCTGCTCATTTTCGTATTCATATTTGTATTTTGTGCATCTATTGTGACAAGGTTACTTGTTTAATGTTGAAACAACCAAACAGAGCAGCTCAAGTGTTACACCAGTGGTTCTCAAAGTGGGGGGCGCAGAGGCATGCCAGGGGGGGCGCGAGAGACCAGGAGGAAAAATGGTTAAAAAAAAAAAGATTAAAAAAATAAAATAAAAATCATAATTTTTAAAATTATTGATTCGAAAATAATATGATGCAGTACAGTATTATTACGTGTTGAGAGATGTATCCATAGATCTCTTCATTTTGCTCTCAAAGTGCACCAGATTGATGCATTTAACTTCAATATTTAAAAATGAAATCTTCCCGGGGGAGCTTGCCCCCGGACCCCCCTATGTGAGGTCCACACACCACCTATAAAAATAGCACTTTACCCCTGCTAAGCTGATTATCGAGCCTTCATTGTAACAGTCGCGGGTACACTGTGTATATGCGTGGGGAATGTTGCAGTCGAAAATTCCACTGTAGCAACCGGTACATTAATGGGAAACCCTAAATGTTTGAGCACCCTCTATGAAACGTCAAGCTACCTGAGCTACTGAGCCTGACTATTTGTGTTGGGGGGGCCCGACTTTTTTTTTTCTCCAAAGGGGGGGCCTGACAGAAAAAGTTTGAGAACCACTGTGTTACACAGTGATGTCACTATGTTCCTGATGTAAACAAAGGAGTCCAATGGGGGCATTTCAGGCAGGGGAAACTCCCGGTTTGAGTCTCTGCAGACCATTTACATGCACTAAAACCTATATAACACACTGCAGGAAAGGGAAACCTAAAAAGAAAAGCATAATAGGAGCTCTTTAAAGATATATCCATTGTTGCCAGTCAGCCAGTTATAGTTCAAATCAGCTGGTGAAAGTAAGTTAGATATTTAAAAGGGATTTTATCTTCAGCTCATATCTATTATATAAATAGAGAATCAAACATGTCTTTTCTCTTTGAATGATACCACACTTAGACTGTCTCAGTATAGGTCATATTGTCCCCTTTATGTTTTCCTCTCTGTTGGTAAAACTTACATTTTTAAGTAATATTTCTACAATAATAGGCTCTCCTGACCTGAGACCACCTTCGGTTTCCCATGCTGAAAAAAACACTTATCTTAAATCTACAGATAAGGCTTGGCTTGACCTAATAACAGCCAAACTCAGTGCCAAGGCCTTGCATAACGCATACCAACATAGAACTACAAGAGAAGTGTAACACCATACATGACATGTACAGCCACAGCATGGCCTGGTCTGTGCAAATGATCACATACAGGAAGTACGGACACCAGACAACCAGAGCAGGGGATCCGCGAGAGAAACAGCTGAGAAAAGTGTTATAGTTACAAAAGAGAGATCCACTCTCATACCCAACTACAAACTCCTAGGTTTAGAGCTGGGTTTGTTTGCACAGTAAAAGCCATAGTGTTGCTTAGTTCCTCTCCATTCAATAGGAGTAATAAATGGACAATAAATACACGGTTCCGTTTGTGAGAATGAAGACTATTGAAAGTGTTGATATTGTGCTGCATGTTAGTGTAAATCACACTAAGTATTCAGGGGAGGGGTACGCATTGAATGGACCTTCGGATATATTAAAGCGGATCATGGCAGTGACGGGTCAGAGCAGACATTTCCTACAGCTGCTCAACAAGCTCCGATCACTTTGGGGTCATTTGTCTGAACCTTATACATTTGCAACTGCTGTCCTTTATTTAATTCCCAAATAATGTATATATTATTACTGATACTCTTTTGTTCTCTTTGTGCAAAGCAAGTTCCCTTAGGGGCAATAAAGATTTAATTATATATTTACACAGGGCCAAGTCTGCCACACATAACATTTTTATTTATTTAGTATTAAAGCATACAGTATTTATTCTATTTCAATGTTTGTCTCGGTCATGTATACATTTGTCTTAGCCCTGCAACCATTATTTATTTTCTCATGTCATTCTGATTTTTCTTGCACTATTTTTTATGTTTAATGTCTTATATATATTTATGTTGTTGGATTTATCCTTGATTTAAGATGTCCATGACCATATCTACGGATATCAGGCCATAAGACTGTGAAACACCTGCACTTTTGAAAGAACATCCATAACATTCATCTGGTTGTAACTTATCAATATTCCAATTACTTGTATTTCGACTATTCTGCACAATTTCTATTTTATTCTATTGCACTATTATCTGTTGTATTGTGTTGCACTGTTGGAGGAGCCTGTGACCTAAGATCTTCATGATCTACACTGGAGCTGTGTACAAATTACAATAAAAGCCTTGAATCTTGAACAATGAATCTACTGTGCATTAAACAATAAAGCCTTTGTATCATGAGTCAATCTACTTAGTCCCTAAACACCACTGACAATAAAGCCTTTGAATCTCACCCTATAATTATTATTTTTGTAATCCTTAGACACTAAGACACTCGTCATGTTATGGCTGTTTCGAAATTACCTCATAGGGGGGCGGTGGCTCCTGGTCGGGGTCTCCGTAGCTGGATTCATGGAGCAGAGAAATATCATCCGAGGTGGGAGATTTCAGACAGTTTCCCATCTCCTTCCAACAAAAACTCTCCTCTCTCTCGGTGTTTACACAGCGGGTACTTCTCCCAGATAATGTCAGCAGCAGATTAGAAGGCGGTTCTCCATGCACAGCTGACGGGTCTCCTCTCCCAGACAACAACAACAACAACAACGACAACACATCCCTCAGCTAGCTACTAGCCACACAAAGAGGAGCTAGCATGCAAAATGAGCTAGCACCCGGTTATTTTAAAAGCTAAAAACAACCCTTACAGGATTTTAAATGTGCAAGAGGCAGCGAAAAGTTCTTCAAATTCTTCATTTATCTCTCGGTTTTTCCTGCTGGCTGTCAGGGACTTTCCCGAGTGCAGCAGCTGCTGAAGAAAAACGACAAAAGGTGGTGATGTAGCAACAAGAAGCCCCGCCCCTTTTTACCCACGAACCAATGAGCTATTAGTTACCGCTTGGATCTTTTTGTGGCAGCCAATCAGAAGAGCACATTGCCCTTCGCTGAAAACGTAAACAGAGAGGAAATCGATAAATGAGTCTTGCTAAATCATGCTGTGATCATTGTAGGGCTCAAACTATTCCATGATTAAACGATATTCTGAATCTGGACAGCTCTCATTGAATATATTGATATTTTGTGTAAATATTGTCTTTATTTATTTGTTACAATAGTTTTTTTTATAAAGATGTTGTAATATTTGCTTCCTTTCATTTCGTTCCGTCTTTGTATGCACCATTTACACTAAAGTAAATTCCTTGTATGTGTAAACGTACTTGGGAATAACACCATTACATTATTACATAGCATTTAGATGACTCTTTTATCCAAAGCGACGTACAATAAGTGCAATAAACCATAGAGATTCAAACTAAGGACAACAAGAAAAGTGTTTTCACTTCAAACATCAAAAAGCTATCCTGAATCTGATATTTCAGGGTTTTCTTGCTTGTCTTCTTTGCTTATTTTCAAATCAATATGATTCAGGCCCACTGTTCCAATATCCCTTGTGTTCTTATCCCTTATTCCCATTGCTTTGCATATCAACAAGAGATTACTTACTCACTGTTTCTAGAGGATTAGAAGATTTGCAGAGCCACTTTGTTCTGTAAATAATAACCCTCAGTGCAGAACACTTTGTATTTGGTGCTTTTGTTTGTGGTGCACGGGTGACAAAAAAGACAACACAAAATGAGATGGTTTGTTTTTAAGTTGCTTATCATTTCATCTTAAATTACAATAGAAACATTCAGTATGTACAGGAATGTCATTCTGCACAGTAGTAGCCGTGCCCGATAAAATACGCTGATTGTAAACATCACAATGCCACTACATTTGAAAGGGTTTCTTTCAGCTATTTCTGCAAAACCAAAAGGGGGGAAAAAGTTAATTATCAGACAATGACATATCATTTTGAAATAGCCTACGTTAAAACAAAATTAAAAGTAGATTTCCTTCACCAATAAAATAAATTGAAACCGACTCCTAGTCATCGTCTTGAATCAAACGTTACTCTAATCATGATTAAATCAACACTTCTCTAATTCCAACACTTGAGACACCATCTTAGTTTCTAGGTTTTGGACACTTAGCGAAACCTCCCCACTAACATGATTAGAGGTGACCCTTTTCTGTCGTATCATCAGTCATTACAAACGTTGTTTTTTTCATATACAGATTATTTTTTTGACAAAGTAGCGTTGTTATTATGTTCACGTCCATGTATAGATGGTTGTTGTCGAGCATGGCTGATGGAGGAGGAGCAGCGGAGGATGCTCTCAAAGCGGTGAAGACTGTTCTGGCTTTGTGTTCGGAGCTTCTTCACTCACTAACGATGCAACAGGCGGACGGGTAAAGGTCCTTTTTCTGCTCGGGGGGAATGGCCCGTGTGTTCACGCTGAAGTACCGCTGGAGCCCGTCGCAAACGCCACGAGGAGAAAAGAAGGGATCTGCCTTTCTAAAAGACGCATTCATCTGTCCTCTTAAAACGGGACAATTCGTGTAAAAGGTGCCATTTACAATATATCAATGTAAAGAACAGCTCTTTGCATTTATGATCTTTTCACTCTTGGCTGATTTACAAAGCTCTGTGCAAAAGCCATTACATGTAAGGGTTAATACAGAAGGAGACTGAATGAACATGAAAACAGGTTTCAAAAGGTTTCAAGTAAAGGAAGACACATGTAAAATAAACAATCCCTCGCTCTTAAAGCTTATGTAGTGTAAAAAGTGAAACCAACATATAAATAATGTATATTCTCTAAATAGGTCATATTGGTTTTGTTAAAATATCTAAATATAGATGAAACCCGTCAACCAGAATGTATCAAATAACATGGTACAAAACAGTCACATGGTTAATGCGGTGAGTTGCATGATGTCAACACATAATTGTTTGTCATTTTCATCGTCAATCTCCATTTTACAGGAATTAAAAGTGGGCATGAGAGCTTTTTTAGCAACCAGGTACATTTGGTGGCTGGGTGGAGTCTGTATGAGTAATCTATGTGTTTGGTGTTTGGTACTCCATTAGATCCAACCCTGCACCTTAAACTGGGCACGTTTTTATTCTGGGGATAATTAAGGAGCAGTATGTATTTACTTCACAGCTGGTTTCCCACCCGAGTGCGCCCCTTATGGGTGGGAACACAGTGCTAGACGAACAAGCCTGCTATAGAAGCAATGTTTCATTAATATAGGCACATTTGTCTCTATTTCAAATCGCTCTAAGAAGCCGATTTCATCATAATATATCTCTAGAAGAGGACTAAGCAAACCTGCCTTAGCCACACACAGAGAGGGCAGCACCCAAACAGATCACCTGCCCTTATAATGTGGGCAGGGGTGGGCTGAGTGTTGCATTGTGGGAGAACAGAAGGCTGTGTCTGCTCTGGCGGGCCCAGTCCGTTAAGGGCTGCTCGGGGAATGGAGGCCGTTCTCCGCCACGCCTTTGGCTTTGTGCATAGCTGCCTGGATCCGGAAGTGAGTCCGCGATTCCATCGAGTAGTTCTTGTAGTTTTGCCTGAAACAGAATAAACATTTAAAATCAAATCAGAGAACTATTTTTTACTGTTTTTCTGGTTTATTGTGTTGCACTGTTGGAGGAGCCTGTGACCTAAGATTTTCATCGTCATAACTACCCTATGAACGTATGACTGATAAAAGCCTTGAACCTTGAAAAGAGTTGGGAAGTAGAGGAGTACAAATACTTCGTTACTGTACTTAAGTACATGTCTCTGGTATCAGTACTTTACTCCACTACTTATTTTTCTGACGACTTTTTACTTTCTACTTCTCACATTTTGAACTCAAATACCTGTACTTTCTACTTCTTACATGCTGAACTCAAATACCTGTACTTTCTACTTCTTACATGTTGAACACAAATACCTGTACTTTCTACTTCTTACATGTTGAACCCAAATACCTGTACTTTCTACTTCTCACATTTTGAACACAAATACCTGTACTTTCTACTTCTTACATGTTGAACCCAAATACCTGTACTTTCTACTTCTTACATGTTGAACACAAATACCTGTACTTTCTACTTCTCACATTTTGAACACAAATACCTGTACTTTCTACTTCTCTCATTTTGAACACAAATACCTGTACTTTCTACTTCTTACATGTTGAACACAAATACCTGTACTTTCTACTTCTTAGATGTTGAACACAAATACCTGTACTTTCTACTTCTTACATGTTGAACTCAAATACCTGTACTTTCTACTTCTCACATTTTGAACACAAATACCTGTACTTTCTACTTCTCTCATTTTGAACACAAATACCTGTACTTTCTACTTCTTACATGTTGAACACAAATACCTGTACTTTCTACTTCTTAGATGTTGAACACAAATACCTGTACTTTCTACTTCTTACATGTTGAACACAAATACCTGTACTTTCTACTTCTTACATGTTGAACACAAATACCTGTACTTTCTACTTCTCACATTTTGAACACAAATACCTGTACTTTCTACTTCTTACATGTTGAACCCAAATACCTGTACTTTCTACTTCTTACACGTTGAACACAAATACCTGTACTTTCTACTTCTTACATGTTGAACCCAAATACCTGTACTTTCTACTTCTCACATTTTGAACACAAATACCTGTACTTTCTACTTCTTACATGTTGAACCCAAATACCTGTACTTTCTACTTCTTACATGTTGAACACAAATACCTGTACTTTCTACTTCTCACATTTTGAACACAAATACCTGTACTTTCTACTTCTCTCATTTTGAACACAAATACCTGTACTTTCTCTACTTCTTACATGTTGAACACAAATACCTGTACTTTCTACTTCTTAGATGTTGAACACAAATACCTGTACTTTCTACTTCTTACATGTTGAACTCAAATACCTGTACTTTCTACTTCTTAGATGTTGAACACAAATACCTGTACTTTCTACTTCTTACATGTTGAACTCAAATACCTGTACTTTCTACTTCTCACATTTTGAACACAAATACCTGTACTTTCTACTTCTCTCATTTTGAAACACAAATACCTGTACTTTCTACTTCTACATGTTGAACACAAATACCTGTACTTTCTACTTCTTAGATGTTTGAACACAATACCTGTACTTTCTACTTCTTACATGTTGAACACAATACCTGTACTTTCTACTTCTTACATGTTGAACACAAATACCTGTACTTTCTACTTCTTACATGTTGAACCAAATACCTGTACTTTCTACTTCTTACATGTTGAAACACAAATACCTGTACTTTCTACTTCTTACATGTTGAACTCAAATACCTGTACTTTCTACTTCTTACATGTTGAACACAAATACCTGTACTTTCTACTTCTTACACGTTGAACACAAATACCTGTACTTTCTACTTCTTACATGTTGAACTCAAATACCTGTATTTTCTACTTCTTACATGTTGAACACAAATACCTGTACTTTCTACTTCTTACATGTTGAACTCAAATACCTGTACTTTCTACTTCTTACATGTTGAACACAAAATACCTGTACTTTCTACTTCTACATGTTGAACACAAATACCTGTACTTTCTACTTCTTACATGTTGAACTCAAATACCTGTACTTTCTACTTCTTACATGTTGAACACAAATACCTGTACTTTCTACTTCTAACATGTTGAACACAAATACCTGTACTTTCTACTTCTCACATGTTGAACTCAAATACCTGTACTTTCTACTTCTTACATGTTGAACCCAAATACCTGTACTTTCTACTTCTCACATGTTGAACTCAAATACCTGTACTTTCTACTTCTTACATGTTGAACCCAAATACCTGTACTTTCTACTTCTTACATGTTGAACACAAATACCTGTACTTTCTACTTCTTACATGTTGAACACAAACACCTGTACTTTCTACTTCTTACATGTTGAACACAAATACCTGTACTTTCTACTTCTTACATGTTGAACACAAATACCTGTACTTTCTACTTCTTACATGTTGAACACAAACACCTGTACTTTCTACTTCTTACATTTTGAACACAAATACCTGTACTTTCTACTTCTTAGATGTTGAACACAAATACCTGTACTTTCTACTTCTTAGATGTTGAACACAAATACCTGTACTTTCAACTTCAGTTCAGGTCAGGTACTCTTTAAAACAGCTGCTAGTTATGGGTACTTTTTACTGAAGTACATTTCAAAGCCTCTTTACTTTGACTTGAGTAAAGAAGTTTAGTCAGTACTTCTACTTTTACAAGAGTATTTTTAAACACGAGTATCTGTACTTCTACTTGAGTAAAGGATGTGTGTACTTCTGCCATCTCTGATCAGAGGTCAATCTAAATTATTATTTCACAAATGAGTATTATAATGAGCACTTTATACTCCCAGACAGACACCCAGACTTTCTGGTTGGTATGTGTCTCTTTGTAGTCATCTTGTGTCTCTTGACTGAATCTTTCTCTATTGGTTCATTGTGAATCTCTTTTTAGTGTTTGGTATGTGTCTCTTTGAGTAATATTGTGTAAGTTAAGCCAGAGGGGGCTCTGACTAATTGGGCCCCTCTACCTGTGCCCTGTAGGCTTTTCTACCAATACATCCATGTGTATTATAATAAACCCATAAATCACAAACACTAAAGTGAAAGCAAACCTTGTTGTTTAATCTACCACGCTTAAGATTTATGATGAAGACATTTAAAAAAAACATGATCTAAAGTGCTGACTGGTAGGTAAACACCGAGTGTAAAAATGCAGAATCATCCATTTTAAAAACCTACTTTGCGGTTTCTAGCAGTCGGATGGCTTCAGACTTCCTGCCTTGCTCCAGACACAGCAGGCCGTGCTCCAGCAGAGCGTTGGGAACCAGGTAGTGGTCGTACTTGATCTGAGACTCGCTGCAGGAAAACATTTAAAAAGACTGTGGTTACAGGAAGAAAGAAGATACCTGCTGACCTCTCCACCCTGCCTCCCACCTTACCCCCCCCCCCCCACACAACCTTCCCTCATCCAGCACCAGTCACTTTTCTACTCATCTCTGCTGTTACTGTACTTCGAACATCATTTATTATGTTTTGCTCTAAGGAATACTTGCACTAATGTCACATTCATGTTTCTGTTGATTGTGTTTTAAATATATTTATTACCTAGTACTACTTAGTTTTTATACCCCTTTTATCTAGGCCCTTTTTGCATCTTGTTTTATGTGTCACACTGCGGGACTGCGAGAAACGGTATTTCAAATTTTCTGTATGTATAACACATGTGGAATTCTTCACAATAAAGTTGACTTTGGCTTTGATTCTTAATAATATTCATACAATAAGTGCAGTTCAAGGTGCTTCACATAGACATTTCACAGACAATTGATATCACACAGAATACAGATACCAGTAAAAGACTGACTAAAAATAGCATAGAGTGTAAAAATGTATTTTGATCAAAGGGATAATGCAAATTCAACACACAATTTGATGACAGGTTGAAATGCATTGAGAAAGAGCAGGAGTTCTCTTCCTAAAAGGCTAATTTCTACAAGAGTTTCCACCAGAAAGAAAGCCATAGGAAAGGCTAAAGGAAAATAAATATAGGAAAGCTGTTCATTGTACTTTGTTATTGGAATAAAATGCACAAGCGGAGATTTTTGCCCTGCGTAAGATCCGCTAACTGGTGCCTCAGCGGCAGTTTGATTTTAGGTTAATAATAATTTGATTTCTATATGATTTTGGCCGCTACAATTCCTTTTAGATATTTTTTTCCAAACAAGGCTGCCTTTATTCACCGAGGATGCTCAAGAATATGATCAGGTTAATAGGTGATGATATGAAAGTAGAGCATCTGTTCTTCAGGTTGGTTGAGCGTGTATTTGGATCTCTCTGTCTGTACACACAAACTGGAAGATTGACAATAGCGCACGTGTCGGTGCACGTTACGTACTTGCAGAGGACGAGGGTGAAGTAGTGTTCGGCCTCCTCTTGATGCCCCAGGTGTTTGAGACACAGACCCTTCAGCAGACTCAGCAGACACTGATCATCTATGGTGAACTCTGACCCTGAGACACACACACACACATTACAAATCATATAGAGTAATCCTGGAGAAACATTCAAAGGGATTGTAAGTAGGGGTGCAACAACTAATCGACTTAATCGATGACCAGATTAGTTGCCAACTAATTCAGTCGTCGATTCGTTGGTGACGTCATCACGTGTGTTTTACGCGCCGTTAAGCTCCAACGTTATTGGTATCGGTACCGGAGACATTTAAAAAATACATGTCATGTATTATTGCTACATAAACATTATATCGCAGTCTTAGTGTCGCCAACTCGTTTCTAATATGCAAAAAGACAAAAAAAATGCGTCTATGATGTATTTTCGATTTTTCCAATCCAGACGAGATCTCTCTCTCCCGTCTGTGTGCGAGGGGGCGGGGCGGTTCACACGCGCAGCTGCTACATGCAGCAACACACTGCGGAGATGGCGGAGAGAACTCGCTCCGAGGTGGTTACACTCTACCCGTCTCGATGCTCGTTGCCTAAAGTGCAATAAGAGTTTATCATGTGAGGGCGGTAACACGAGCAATGTGTCTAAACATTTAGCAAAAGCGCTCCACATTCAGACGGAGGAATGCACCGGGTTCCACTGTCTTTCTAGCAGCTCTGTAGCTCCATCCACGAGTAACGTTTCCACGTCAGGTGTTATGTATGCTAGCAGCAACACACGGAGTTAACTCAATTATACAAACACGGGTTAATGATTAGAGGAAACAGAGTTATTTATTTTGTTAAAGTTTCAGCTATTCTGTTCACAGTTCTGTCATCAGATTATTTAATACGATTTGTTAAAACGTTGTTGTTTCTTTTGATGTGAAATATTATTTATTTAATTTAAATAAAAAGCGATGTTAGTTTTGTTCAAAATGTGTTTAGTTAATTTAATAATATATGTATTTTTGAATCAAGTATTCATCTTTATTGTCTTCATTGTTAGTTTCCACATGCCTAAAACAACCTCAAGCTAAATCTAAAAGTTGATGGCTAAATAAGAGCGCTTGAGAAATTGTGCAAGGCGTAATAGTCCGAATAGTCGATTAGTCGTTTCATTAATCGATAGATTAATCGACTATGAAATTAGTCGTTTGTTGCAGCCCTAATTGTAAGTGGTGTGCGTAGTTGTCTTAAGTATTTCACTATATGTTATGTATTACCTTTTTAGTCGTCTCTGGTTTTTATTTAATACAAAAAAGGTAAACTTGTCATTTTACCTACTTTTAAATCCAGACTGAGGACTTTTCTTTTTGCCGCTGCTTTTAATTGAACTATTCACATCTTAAACTGCACTGTAACTTTTATCCATGTCTTTTTTCTTTTAATGTTTATTTTATTATCTTTTCTTTTTAATGACTAATTTTAAATGCCATTTTCTTAATGTCTTTCATTTTTGTAAAGCACTTTGAATTGCCTTGTGTTGAAAAGTGCTATATAAATAAACTTGCCTTGTCTCTTAAAAGTGGAATACAAATAAAGGTTATTAATAATAATAAATTGTATTTATTAATTTATAATAAATGTTATATAATAAAAACATATAATTATGATAATATCATTCTCTGAGATGGTTAAAGTACATCCGTACAGCCTCTTAAATAAATGCAATTCCTTTTATATTAATATCAAAATAAAATAAGAAATGTTTATTTCTGCATTACTTGGGCTGCTGTCGAGTTTAGCCTGCTCCTCCTGCAGAGTTTTCAGCATGCCTTCAGTCAGGTCCTTGTGTTTGCCAATGACTGTGTAGCCGTTCCAGATGTACATCATCTCCTAGAGAACACACACACACACACACACACACACACACACACACACACACACACACACACACACACACACACACACACACACACACCACACACACACACACACACACACACACACACACACACACACACACACACACACACACACACACACACACACACACACACACACACACACACACACACACACACACACACACACACACACACACACACACACACACACACACACACACACACACACACACACACACACACACACACACACACACACACACACACACACACCACACCAAATTAGATCATTTTCATATATAGAGGTGAACATAAAAAAAACTATTTTTGACAAAGCTCGGCTCTCGTATGGATTTGACTCAAACAAAGGTTCTTCCTGTAAAGGTCACCTATTATGCAAAATCCTCTTCTTCATGTCTCTTCTACATCAACATGTGTCCCCTCTTCTTCATGTCTCTTCTACATCAACATGTGTCCCCTCTTCTTCATGTCTCTTCTACATCAACATGTGTCCCTCTCCCATGTCTCTTCTACATCAATGTGTCCCCTCTTCTTCATGTCTCTCTCTACAACATGTGTCCCCTCTTCTTCATGTCTCTTCTACATCAACATGTGTCCCCTCTTCTTCATGTCTCTTCTACATCAACATGTGTCCCCTCTTCTTCATGTCTCTTCTACATCAACATGTGTCCCTCTTCTTCATGTCTCTTCTACATCAACACGTGTCCCCTCTTCTTCATGTCTCTTCTACATCAAACACGTGTCCCCTCTTCTTCACGTCTCTTCTACATCAACATGTGTCCCCGTCCCTCTTCTCCATGTCTCTTACATCAAACATGTGTCCCTCTTCTCATGTCTCTTCTAAATCAACATGTGTCCCCTCTTCTTCATGTCTCTTCTACATCAACATGTGTCCCCTCTTCTTCCTGTCTCTTCTAACATCAACATGTGTCCCCTCTTCTTCATGTCTCTTCAAATCAACATGTGTCCCCTCTTTTCAGTCTCTTCTAACATCAACATGTGTCCCCTCTTCTTCATGTCTCTTCTAACTCAACATGTGTCCCCTCTTCTTCATGGTCTCTTCTACCTCAACATGTGTCCCCTCTCTCATGACTCTTCTACATCAACATGTGTCCCCTCTTCTTCATGTCTCTTCTACCTCAACATGTGTCCCCTCTTCTTCATGACTCTTCTACATCAACATGTGTCCCCTCTTCTTCATGTCTCTTCTACCTCAACATGTGTCCCCTCTTCTTCATGTCTCTTCTACATCAAACATGTGTCCCCTCTTCTTCATGTCTCCTCTACATCAACATGTGTCCCCTCTTCTTCATGTCTCTTCTACATCAACATGTGTCCCCTCTTCTTCATGTCTCTTCTACATCAACATGTGTCCCCTCTTCTTCATGTCTCTTCTACATCAACATGTGTCCCCTCTTCTTCATGTCTCTTCTACATCAACATGTGTCCTCTCTTCTTCATGTCTCTTCTACATCAACATGTGTCCCCTCTGTGGAAAGAGACTCTGAAAGTTTCAGGAACAAAGATTTTCTCTCTTTTTGATCCATTTCTATAAAAACCTGTCTGAAAATGAGCTGATCAGATTTTGGCCACTTGATGATGTCATCACGATGTGTTGTCTTGTGTAACCATTAGCCAATCAGCAACCAAGGTAACCCCCCCCCCCCCCCTTATCACCTGAATCTCCTCTAGAGCACCATTGAGTTCTTTGTAACCAAATGTCTCTCAGAGGGGCGTGGGGAGGGGCTCCTTATTTTCATCTAAAGTAACAGACAGAGAATCAGCACTTTGGAAACAGGGCTGAAACAGAGGGGATTATGGGTAATGCTGCAATGATCTGTTTGGTGTTTCAGCCAATCAGAGACAGGTTCTGGATATATCTGAGACCTGTGATATATTGATGAGAAACAGTATGATAGGAGACCTCTAAGGAACCAAGCATCATGGTACCTTAACCTGGAAGTAGTACTCAAATAATATTATAATGATGTCTTTATGTGTTATAGCAGTGCAGCACTGACCAGTGGAGGAGCAGGGAGAGGGATGGGGTTTTCTGCAAGGTAGCGACGGGCTTTCCTGATAGCGAACTTCTCTGTCGGTAAAGACTTCCCCGCTATCTTCTGCTTCAGCCCCGGGACCTGCCTGGAATATAACAGAGCACAGAAGTATTGCCATCATAATCTACTGGTACAAAATCTACAGTAAATACAGAGCTAAGTACACGCTAAAGCAGGGGTGTCAAACTCAATTTCATCGCGGGCCACATTAGCATTATGGTTGCACTCAAAGCGCCGGTTGTAACTATATAAATATACATATTTAATATATATAAAATAATGTATTATATTACATTATTGCCTCTGAATTGGATTATTATCCGATAGGGTAATAACTTCATAATGAACTACGTCTGAAAGCAGAGCAAATAATTGCAAGTCTCTTCAGTGCGCATGTCACAAAACAAGATGCATTGTGGGACATGTAGTTTATGGGCAACGTGCTTCTGTAAAGTGGCATGTAACCGTATAATAAACGTATTATAATCTTTGCAAGCTCTTGAGGGCCACATAAAATAAAGTCGCGGGCCGGTTTTGGCCCCCGGGCCTTGACTTTGACACCCCTGCGCTAAAGGGTCTGTGAGCAGGTTTTTTATATAGGTATATACATATTTGTATACGTGTTTGTGTGGTATTTCGATCTCTCTGTCTGTACACACAAACTGAAAGATTGACAATAAAGTTGACTTTGACTTTCTCTCATTGTGCAGTTATGTTAAATGTTGTTTGTTTTTCATGTATTGATGTTTGTCTGTTGATGTTACACATGCTGTGATGCAAGGAGCATTTCAGACTTGATCTGACCATTAAAGTGTTATCATATCTGAAAGAACCAAAAGTAAAAGCACGTATCATGCAGAGTATCAGAATCTAATTTGAATATTAGGTGATGGTCATTTGGTTTGTGTTCATCATGTTGCAGCTGTAAGGCAAGGCAAGTTTAATTAGAGAGCACTTTTCAACACAAGGCAATTCAAAGAGCTTTACAAAGAAGATAAAACATGAATAACACAGGTACGTGAATGAACGTTAGTGCGAGATGTGAATAGTTCAATTAAAAGCAAAAAGAAAAGTCTTCAGCCTGGATTTAAAAGTAGTCAGAGTCGCAGCGGACCTGCAGGTTTCTGGGAGTTTGTTCCAGATATTTGGAAATATCCCGAACCAAATTCTCACTTTCCTCTACCCCTAGTCTTCCCGTGAAATTAGAGTTATTTTTATATTCCTCTCATCCTTCTCTTCAATCATTTTGCATCCCCAGACAACACATTTTCCTGTTTCCGAACCCATCTTTGACCGGCATTAAGGCAAGGCAAGAATTAGGATATTTAAACCTGTTTAGACTTTGCTCGTGAATCTTTGACCTGTATGTAATGCAGTGGCGAACCGTCAGGGCCTTCAAGGTATTCAGAGAATACCCTGGAACACTCAGATAAAACAAACAAAAAATCGATTTAATTATATAAATAAGATGTAATAAAATGAATAAATGAGAATGGTATCTGTTGATCTGTAATATTACAGTGTTACGTTGATTTGTTTGTCCTTCTCGGACCATGCACTACGCATTTCAGTGGTTTTGTGTTAGAAAAGAAAGCAACCAATCAGATCTTGTTCTGGGTCTCTGGGTAGAATATCCTTCACCAAGGTATTCTACATCCTTGATCGAAGGCCCTGGCCGTTGCACTGAATGAGAGCGTACGTTTGGACTGACAGTTTGATCAACCAATCATATATTGATTTGTAGCCAATGGGCGTATTCTTTCAGAGTTCCCCTTGGTTCCAGGGTATTCTAGAAGGCCCGCTAGTTAACTGGCTCGAGACAGAGGATCTAGATGAATGCGACGAAGCAATTCATGCAGTTTTATTGTTTTTAACGTTGAAATGACAAGTGCAACAGGTGAAGAGGAAGTTGTTGCGGAATTGTTGTGAGTTCCCTTTTCAAGACGACAATTCAGTGAAAAGACGGACATTATAATGCCGCGGAGGGGGGGGGGGGGGGGTGTCTACAGAAGGTCCAGTTGTGATAGACACGGTTCGCCACTGATGTAATGTATGTTTCCTTGTGGTTGCTGTGAGTAGCTTCAGTACTTCTTACCTGAACAGAGTGTGCGCGGTCTCTCCGAAGGTGAGGCAGTCGTCCGGAGTCAGCATGCTGAGGTAGGCTGCTTTCATATAGGCATAGGTGGCCTGAGGGAGGGAGAGCGGTACATATGTTCTATTTGAAATGAGATGAGGAGAGAACTGAGGGGTGCACAACTGAAACCCATTCTTTAGTTTCAAGATTACTTTTTAGTAACTTCAAGCTCATGATGAGGCTTTCTGTGTTTCTAAAGCAAAACAATGTCATTCCTTTTCACCCACGATCACCTCTGACTGTAACAGAGTATTTATTCTCAATTACTGCACTCAAGAACCTTTTTGACATTCTATTATTGACTATTTTGAAAACAAATGTTGTACTTTTAGTGTCTTACTACGTGAAAAGAGCCTTTCTGCACACTGAATACTTTTGATACTTAAAGTACTTTTAGCTAATAACACTTCTGCACTTCTATTTACGAAACATGTCAATCCAGGACTTAATATTTCTACTTCTACTTAAGTAAAGGATGTTAGTACTTTTCCACCTCTGACTAGAATATCAAGCATTTATTGGACTTTCTTCTGTATCATAAGGCATTGCTCTCTTGTGTCTCTCACAACATCTGCTTAAAAAACATCTCTTTATGTTAACACTGCTCCGGTTTTGCCGTTCCTATTTGCAAGGAAAATGTTCTTATTTTGCTCGTTTGAGCATTTATTTGATGCACTTTAAGGTGCCCTTCTGTGTCTTGAAAGGCACCTCCAAATTAAATGTGTTATTATTTGTATTACTAAGTTCCCCGACCCACCTTGGACCAGGTGTTCTCCTTGCTGAGCAGGTCAGCGTAGAAGTAGGCCATCTTCCAGTGCCTCTTGTAGGTGAAGCACCACATCAGCTCCCAGTAGCACATGTGGTGGAACTGCTTCCACTGCTGCTGCGCCTCGCAGCACTCCTCGAAACGCTTGATGGCCTGAAAGCATGCAAACAGTCAGGGTCTCACCGTATTAGAGGTCCCCTATCATACTGTTTCTCATCAATATCTCACAGGTCTCAGATATATACAGAGCCTGTCTCTGATTGGCTGAAACACCAAACAGATAATTGCAGCATTACCCATAATCCCCTCTGTTTCAGCCCTGTTTCCAAAGTGCTGATTCTCTGTCTGTTACTTTAGATGAAAATAAGGAGCCCCTCCCCACGCCCCTCTGAGAGACATTTGGTTACAAAGAACTCAATGGTGCTCTAGAGGAGATTCAGGTGATAAGGGGGGGGGGGGTTACCTTGGTTGCTGATTGGCTAATGGTTACACAAGACAACACATCGTTATGACATCATAAAGTGGCCAAAATCTGATCAGCTCATTTTCAGACAGGTTTTTATAGAAATGGATCAAAAAGAGAGAGAATCTTTGTTCCTGAAACTTTCAGGAGTCTCTTTCCACAGAGGGGACACATGTTGATGTAGAAGAGACATGAAGAAGAGGGGACACATGTTGATGTAGAAGAGACATGAAGAAGAGGGGACACATGTTGATGTAGAAGAGACATGAAGAAGAGGGGACACATGTTGATGTAGAAGAGACATGAAGAAGAGGGGACACATGTTGAGGTAGAAGAGACATGAAGAAGAGGGGACACATGGTGATGTAGAAGAGACATGGAGAAGAGGGGACACATGTTGATGTAGAAGAGACATGAAGAAGAGGGGACACATGTTGATGGAAGAAGAGACATGAAGAAGAGGGGACACATGTTGATGTAGAAGAGACATGAAGAAGAGGGGACACATGTTGATGTAGAAGAGACATGAAGAAGAGGGGGACACATGTTGATGTAGAAGAGACATGAAGAAGAGGGGACACATGTTGATGTAGAAGAGACATGAAGAAGAGGGGACACATGTTGATGTAGAAGAGACATGAAGAAGAGGGGACACATGTTGATGTAGAAGAGACATGAAGAAGAGGGGACACATGTTGATGTAGAAGAGACATGAAGAAGAGGGGACACATGTTGATGTAGAAGAGACATGAAGAAGAGGGGACACATGTTGATGTAGAAGAGACATGAAGAAGAGGGGACACATGTTGATGTAGAAGAGACATGAAGAAGAGGGGACACATGTTGATGTAGAAGAGACATGAAGAAGAGGGGACACATGTTGATGTAGAAGAGACATGAAGAAGAGGGGACACATGTTGATGTAGAAGAGACATGAGAAGAGGGGACACATGTTGATGTAGAAGAGACATGAAGAAGAGGGGACACATGTTGATGTAGAAGAGACATGAAGAAGAGGGGACACATGTTGATGTAGAAGAGACATGAAGAAGAGGGGACACATGTTGATGTAGAAGAGACATGAAGAAGAGGGGACACATGTTGATGTAGAAGAGACATGAAGAAGAGGGGACACATGTTGATGTAGAAGAGACATGAAGAAGAGGGGACACATGTTGATGTAGAAGAGACATGAAGAAGAGGGGACACATGTTGATGTAGAAGAGACATGAAGAAGAGGGGACACATGTTGATGTAGAAGAGACATGAAGAAGAGGGGACACATGTTGATGTAGAAGAGACATGAAGAAGAGGGGACACATGTTGATGTAGAAGAGACATGAAGAAGAGGGGACACATGTTGATGTAGAAGAGACATGAAGAAGAGGGGACACATGTTGATGTAGAAGAGACATGAAGAAGAGGGGACACATGTTGATGTAGAAGAGACATGAAGAAGAGGGGACACATGTTGATGTAGAAGAGACATGAAGAAGAGGGGACACATGTTGATGTAGAAGAGACATGAAGAAGAGGGGACACATGTTGATGTAGAAGAGACATGAAGAAGAGGGGACACATGTTGATGTAGAAGAGACATGGAGAAGAGGGGACACATGTTGATGTAGAAGAGGGGACACATGTTGATGTAGAAGAGACAATAGGTGACCTTTAAATCCTATCCAGTGAGGATGTGTTCATAGAGAGCATTTCATTGTGTCAGTGATTATGTGTAGCCGACGCAGAGGGCTCAACTTCATCAGTCATTACGTTTTATCTTTCAAATTGGAAGAAGGGACGTGAGCTTGAAGTGTCTTAAATTGTTAAATATTGTTTATTATATATGTTCATTTAATTATTTTAAAAGTGACTTACCTGTATATCATTTCAATGTTATCTTCCTGTTTTCCAATCTCACTCTGTTGCCGTTTAAACTACTGAATTTCCCCTCAGGGATTAATAAAAGCTCCATTTGATCGTATCTTATCGTCCTGCCAGGTTTCAGCAATAACAACTAAAGCACATTTTGTATCCGTGTGTGTAACGGGGGTTTATTTTCTATTTGGTAAATGACATTATTCTTTACTTGTTTGTTTAGCACGAGGGATATTTGACCCAGTGCTAAATATGTGAATTCATCAACTCCATTGGAATATATTTGACTGCTCACTTTGGACATATTCAATTTAGTATATTAACTGTAGCAGTAGTAAATGTTTCTACACCTTAAACTGACTACAAATACTTCTAATTGCAAAGGAAGACATTGACAAAAAGATTGAAATATATCAGCAGTCTCAAAGTTCGGTTATTATAAAGAGGGGTTTGCTTTTCTACATGAAAAACGCTGTGTGCTTTGTCGAGTGTGTGTATATAATATATATATATATTTATATATATATGACGGGGACTCACAGCATCCAAGTTGCCTTTGATCTCCTCTATTCGACCAGCGAAGAACAAGAAGATGGATCCCTGGAGAAAAAAAACCACACAGTTTTATTTGGGAATATTTCCAGTTATTCAGGAGTTAAGAATGTCACTTTTTTAAATTCAGGCGAACCTTAGGATATTTCTCGAGGTACGGCTGCAGCAGTTTCTCTGCATCCTCAACGTCTCCTTCTCCAGTTCCTGAGAGACGCAACCAGGTGAGACACATTCAGAAAGGTCAAATGCAAAGTCAGACGACGAAGCAGGTCTTTCTGTACGTTTTTGATTTATTTCGGATGTGTAAAACAATAATACAACAATTTAACATGAGGATTATTATACAATACAAATTAATCAGTGTCAAATTGATATAAAAGATTATTACTGATTCTAAATTATGTATAAATATATAATCTACTTAATTACACATCTGAAAAGGGGTGGGAAGAAGTTTACACTTATTTAATCCCACCCCTTCTCCCAAAAACTAAATGACTAACACATATCTTTAAGTTTGATGTAAGCATCTCAGAGAGACCAGAAGAGAGGACACGTTTTCATACACATTGATGCTACAGACACGACACATGACAGTTAAATATTGCATTCAACATAAATAACTTGCAGGAATAATAATGCAACAACAAGACAGGAAGGATGAAAAACATGTACATATAAAATTGAAAAAGATAAATCGGCCTGTAAAATAAATACAGTGGTGTTTGCTCACCCAGTATGAAGCTCATGAAGGTGTGGTAGCAGAGCAGCAGCATGTTGCAGAGGAAGGACCTGAAGGTGCTGTCAGCACAGCCCTCCTGAAGCTGCTGCAGACCAAACTCCTACACACACACACACACACACACACACACACAACATTTAGCTGACGCTTTTATCCAAAGCGACTTACAATAACTGCATTCGACCAAGAAGATACAAACTTGAAGAAAACAGAATCATAAAGTACATCAGGTTTCATAGAGCCAAACATTTCAAGTGCTACTCAACTGGCTTTAGATAAGCCAGTCCTTTATCACACACACACACACCACACACACACACACACCACACACACACACACACACACACCACACACACCACACACACACACACACACACACACACACACACACACACACACACACACACACACAGCACACACACACACACACACACACACACACAACACACACACACACACACACACACACACACACACACACACACACACACACACAACACACACACACACACCACACACACACACACACACACACACACACACACCACACACCACACACACCACACACACACACACACACACCCACACACACACACACACACACACACACACACACACAGTATGCTCTCTTCCTCCTGTGTCCTCGCCCTTTCCGGTCACCTATGACTCCTTTTTAGTGCAGCTAACCCCGCCACCAAGTGTCCACAAATAATATTGCAATATTAATAAGTAACGCCAACAACACCCATAAAATGGCTCCTACACGTGTATTTCCATTTGATCTTGTCTTAGTTTATATTCTCCTAGCCTTTTAATGACTGGTTTCAAATGTATTAAAATATTAATTTAATTGTTTAATGTGTTTCTTTTGCACCGTGTCCTAATGCCTTTTAGTTTGTTAAGCACATACACTTCCATTGCATATGAAACAGATAGGCTTGTGTGCAAAATATACAAGTACAAATAGTGCACTGTGACATAACTCGGAATAACTCAAGGACTCGGAAGTATATGTACGATATTGTTTTGCAACAGGAAGGAGAATCATTCCAACTACGAGATTAAGAAGTGAAGCGATATCACGACGTAAAGGACTTTTGTTTTAGCTCCGCACATAATAGGAAGTTGTGAAACAGAGAAACAGTGTAGTCATAGGTTCATTCATCAAATGAGTTTCAGCTAAATGTACTTTGAAGCGTAAATTACAGATACAGTTTACGCCTTCCACTGTTAGTTTCAGCAACAGAAAGTAACCACTTCAAGCAGAATGAAAAATCCCTGACCTGTGAATCCTCTCAGCTTAGAGGAAATCGTGCTACCCACGGTTTCCTCTCGCGTTGTATTAAACGCTCACATGTCTGCAGACTCACCTTATTACCAGAGAAACCCACAAACTCCAGCAGCTTCAGCGTCCTCGTGGGCAACATGGAGATCATCTGCAGGAAGTAGACACGTGCAATTCAAACGCTAGACACTAAAATATGTTTATTCCATATTTTTAAATCATTTTCTCGTGCATCAACTTCAGCGTGTTGTTTGACATGTATATATCCAGTTTAATATTGAATATTCCATCTGTCACATACTTATGTATATATAATACCTTGCCAGTGTTTCCCACAGAATTTGATTCTATTTGTGGGGGCACCGCACAAAAAAAGAAAAGCCAAAGGCCCCTTAACCTATTCGGGTGGCCCACACATCCACCCCCCCTCAAATAAGATAATACATGCGAGTTAATGGCTGTAGACAACGCTCTTGTTGCTCTGTGTTGCGTTGTTAATGAGTGAGACACACCGGAGTTGAGGATCTGTGAGGTTTATTCTCCCAAAAATATAATTTACAATGTAGACATTTAGCAGACGCCTTATTCCAAAGCGACTTACAATGACCGATTACAGGGACATTCTCCCTGGAGTAACCGAGGGCTAAGTGCCTTACTCAAGGGCAAGTGGTGTTCCAGGCAGGATTTGAACTCGCAACCTTCCGATCATCAGCCCACCTCACTATCCATTAGACCACCAATGTATGGGAAACACTGCTTGCTTTACATCGTGTTATTGTTAATTCAACATGTATATTTTCTACTTCCTTGTCTTTTAATTTGTATTGTTGCCATGTTATGCTGCTGCAACACAAACATTTCCCGAATTGGGATCAATAAAGTACTTCTCATCTTATCTCATCTTAGAGCATCACTAAATAAATACAAGTAGGTTTTACTGTCTTTTCACTTTTGCTAAAGACTTGATACGACGTGGAAGTGCTGTGTCCCATATGTCATGACTTTTTGTTGTTGTTGATTATAAAAGCAAACATTTAGCCTTGTACTTACCAGGTTAAAGGCTCCCACTCCCAGGTTCACCCCCCCCTCAAAGTGCCCATGGTTTTCCCCGTGAGAGTATCCAGAGGACTGGAGGATTGTGTGAAGCTCTCTGTAAAGGTGAAGAGAAATAAAGGAGATAATGAAAGCTTTTAGAAGTTGGTTATAAACGCTGTGATAGGAGATCTTGTTTCCATGTGATATGTTTGTGGTTTTTATCGGCATGTCTTGTTGTATTGATTTGTGAGCCACTGTGTCACATATTATTAATGATTTATTACCATGTTATTTTACTTTGAACACATCTGTGCAGAGAGGAAAAACAGCCACATTGACAGAAATGATTATTAACGTGCATTTTTCCCTCTTAAATATACTAATACATAAACACACAATAATACAATAAATGATAATAACAAATGAAAGTAAAAAAAGGAGCAAATTATTACATGTATTAATAAATAAATATAAAACAAATGAAAAAGAATAGATCAATAAATGAATAAAGAAATAATGAAATATAAAATAATTAAAGACAAGGGGTTGACAACACAAGCAAGAAGAGAACACAAATTATATTTGGACTTTGAATTCTCACTTGTATGTCTGGTAGCTGTTCCTCACTTTGATTCCGCCTTTGATGAAACTGATCATGTTTTCATCCTGAACAAGAAGGAGGTGAAGAAACAGAGAATCAATGTAAACAAAGGAGAGATCATCAGTGGTGGAATGTACTTACTATTATACTAATATACAGTATGATATTCAGTGGAGGGTGAGACCCTAACCTGCAGGAAGGTGAGTGCTGCCCTCTGCAGGAGACACTCTGCGTAGCACACTTCAGCATGAAGCTCCTCTGAGGAGAAAATAAAGTCAGTTATCTTCAGTCAGAGCAGGTAGAAGTACTCAGATCTGGTACTTGAGTACAAGTAGAAGTACTCAGATCTTGTACTTGAGTACAAGTAGAAGTACTCTGATCTGGTACTTGAGTAAAAGTAGAAGTACTCAGATCTGGTACTTGAGTAAAAGTAGAAGTACTCAGATCTGGTACTTGAGTAAAAGTAGAAGTACTCTGATCTGGTACTTGAGTACAAGTAGAAGTACTCAGATCTTGTACTTGAGTACCAGTAGAAGTACTCAGATCTTGTACTTGAGTACAAGTAGAAGTACTCAGATCTTGTACTTGAGTACAAGTAGAAGTACTCTGATCTGGTACTTGAGTAAAAGTAGAAGTACTCAGATCTGGTACTTGAGTAAAAGTAGAAGTACTCAGATCTGGTACTTGAGTAAAAGTAGAAGTACTCAGATCTGGTACTTGAGTAAAAGTAGAAGTACTCTGATCTGGTACTTGAGTAAAAGTAGAAGTACTCAGATCTGGTACTTGAGTAAAAGTAGAAGTACTCAGATCTGGTACTTGAGTAAAAGTAGAAGTACTCAGATCTTGTACTTGAGTACCAGTAGAAGTACTCAGATCTTGTACTTGAGTACAAGTAGAAGTACTCAGATCTTGTACTTGAGTACAAGTAGAAGTACTCAGATCTGGTACTTGAGTACAAGTAGAAGTACTCAGATCTTGTACTTGAGTAAAAGTAGAAGTACTCAGATCTTGTACTTGAGTACAAGTAGAAGTACTCAGATCTTGTACTTGAGTAAAAGTAGAAGTACTCAGATCTTGTACTTGAGTACAAGTAGAAGCACTCAGATCTTGTACTGGAGTACAAGTAGAAGTACTCAGATCTTGTACTTGAGTAAAAGTAGAAGTACTCAGATCTTGTACTTGAGTACAAGTAGAAGTACTCAGATCTTGTACTTGAGTACAAGTAGAAGTACTCAGATCTTGTACTTGAGTAACAGTAGAAGTACTCAGATCTTGTACTTGAGTAAAAGTAGAAGTACTCAGATCTGGTACTTGAGTAAAAGTAGAAGTACTCAGATCTGGTACTTGAGTAAAAGTAGAAGTACTCAGATCTTGTATTTGAGTACAAGTAGAAGTACTCTGATCTTGTACTTGAGTAAAAGTAGAAGTACTCTGATCTGGTTCTTGAGTAAAAGTAGAAGTACTCTGATCTGGTACTTGAGTAAAAGTAGAAGTACTCAGATCTGGTACTTGAGTAAAAGTAGAAGTACTCAGATCTGGTACTTGAGTAAAAGTAGAAGTACTCTGATCTGGTACTTGAGTAAAAGTAGAAGTACTCAGATCTGGTACTTGAGTAAAAGTAGAAGTACTCTGATCTGGTACTTGAGTAAAAGTAGAAGTACTCAGATCTTGTACTTGAGTACCAGTAGAAGTACTCAGATCTTGTACTTGAGTAAAAGTAGAAGTACTCAGATCTTGTACTTGAGTACAAGTAGAAGTACTCAGATCTTGTACTTGAGTAAAAGTAGAAGTACTCAGATCTTGTACTTGAGTACAAGTAGAAGTACTCAGATCTTGTACTTGAGTACAAGTAGAAGTACTCAGATCTTGTACTTGAGTAACAGTAGAAGTACTCAGATCTTGTACTTGAGTAAAAGTAGAAGTACTCAGATCTGGTACTTGAGTAAAAGTAGAAGTACTCAGATCTGGTACTTGAGTAAAAGTAGAAGTACTCAGATCTGGTACTTGAGTAAAAGTAGAAGTACTCAGATCTTGTACTTGAGTACAAGTAGAAGTACTCAGATCTGTTACTTGAGTAAAAGTAGAAGTACTCAGATCTGTTACTTGAGTAAAAGTAGAAGTACTCAGATCTTGTACTTGAGTACAAGTAGAAGTACTCAGATCTTGTACTTGAGTAAAAGTAGAAGTACTCAGATCTTGTACTTGAGTACAAGTAGAAGTACTCAGATCTTGTACTTGAGTAAAAGTAGAAGTACTCAGATCTTGTACTTGAGTACAAGTAGAAGCACTCAGATCTTGTACTTGAGTAAAAGTAGAAGTACTCAGATCTTGTACTTGAGTAAAAGTAGAAGTACTCAGATCTGGTACTTGAGTAAAAGTAGAAGTACTCAGATCTTGTACTTGAGTACAAGTAGAAGTACTCAGATCTTGTACTTGAGTAAAAGTAGAAGTACTCAGATCTTGTACTTGAGTACAAGTAGAAGTACTCAGATCTTGTACTTGAGTAAAAGTAGAAGTACTCAGATCTGTTACTTGAGTAAAAGTAGAAGTACTCAGATCTTGTACTTGAGTACAAGTAGAAGTACTCAGATCTTGTACTTGAGTAAAAGTAGAAGTACTCAGATCTTGTACTTGAGTACAAGTAGAAGTACTCAGATCTTGTACTTTAGTACAAGTAGAAGTACTCAGATCTTGTACTTGAGTAAAAGTAGAAGTACTCAGATCTTGTACTTGAGTACCATGCTCACTCCTTTAGTCAGTACAGGATTTGACTGACCTTCTGTGTAGTTTTTGGAGAAGCTGGACTTCTTGCGGTTCCTGATGGAGGAAGCAGAACAAATAAAACCATCATGAGTTATCAGAATCAGAATCAGAATCAAGTTTAAGGAATTTCCTTTGGTATCTGGTGGTGCGAACATAAACAATCTAAAAAAATAAGTTGCAAAGTAGGTACAACAAATTATATATAAGGATAATAAAAATAAGTATTTTTAAGATAAACAATTTAGCATTAAAACAGGATGCTAAAGACAAGTATTTACACCAAATTTAAATTTACAAATAACCTTAAAAACTGAAAAACAACAAAAACACTTAGGACAATGATTATATGCCAAACTACAGGGTATTATATTTTAAAGTGGAGGGCTGTGCAGAAATGTGTGCTAAACAGAGATGGCAAAAGTACAGATACTCGTGTTTAAAAATACTCTGGTAAAAGTAGAAGTACTGACTAAACTTCTTTCCTCAAGTGAAAGTAAAGAGGCTTTGAAATGTACTTCAGTAAAAAGTACCCATAACTAGCAGCTGCTTTAAAGAGTACCTGACCTCCCTTTATATTAATAGAACAATAATGTCATTGTTAGCTAATGAATGTTTCCATGCTGAACAACGGCAACATGACAACGTTTCCATTGGTCCCTCTTCTTTAGAGAAGACCAGGAAATGATGGATACACGGATCGTGTTCAAATCAATAGGCACGCAATGACTCTAAAGAATAATGATCACGCACCAAACACACATTCAGACTAAAGGAACCAGCTGTTTGGGAAATGAGAGAAGTAGAAAGTTCAGGTATTTGAGTTCAACATGTAAGAAGTAGAAAGTACAGGTATTTGAGTTCAACATGTGAGAAGTAGAAAGTACAGGTATTTGTGTTCAACATGTAAGAAGTAGAAAGTACAGGTATTTGTGTTCAACATGTAAGAAGTAGAAAGTACAGGTATTTGAGTTCAACATGTGAGAAGTAGAAAGTACAGGTATTTGTGTTCAACATGTAAGAAGTAGAAAGTACAGGTATTTGTGTTCAACATGTAAGAAGTAGAAAGTACAGGTATTTGAGTTCAACATGTGAGAAGTAGAAAGTACAGGTATTTGAGTTCAACATGTAAGAAGTAGAAAGTTCAGGTATTTGAGTTCAACATGTGAGAAGTAGAAAGTACAGGTATTTGTGTTCAACATGTAAGAAGTAGAAAGTACAGGTATTTGTGTTCAACATGTAAGAAGTAGAAAGTACAGGTATTTGAGTTCAACATGTAAGAAGTAGAAAGTACAGGTATTTGAGTTCAACATGTGAGAAGTAGAAAGTACAGGTATTTGAGTTCAACATGTAAGAAGTAGAAAGTTCAGGTATTTGTGTTCAACATGTAAGAAGTAGAAAGTACAGGTATTTGAGTTCAACATGTGAGAAGTAGAAAGTACAGGTATTTGAGTTCAACATGTAAGAAGTAGAAAGTTCAGGTATTTGAGTTCAACATGTAAGAAGTAGAAAGTACAGGTATTTGTGTTCAACATGTGAGAAGTAGAAAGTACAGGTATTTGAGTTCAACATGTAAGAAGTAGAAAGTACAGGTATTTGTATTCAACATGTGAGAAGTAGAAAGTACAGGTATTTGTGTTCAACATGTTAGAAGTCAAAGTAAAAAGTCTTCAGAAAAATAAGTAGTGGAGGAAAGTACTGATACCAGAGAAATGTACTTAAGTACAGTAACGAAGTATTTGTACTCCACTACTTCCCACCTCTGGTGCTAAAATGTGCACGAAGCAGTCGGAGAGTTGAGCATGAACATGGCTCACAGTATTAAGAAAGAACTAAATGAAAATGAAAATCTCCAGGATTGTTTTCCAGCAGCACAGCATTGTCCTGCGTCTCTTTGCTTATCATGTTTCAATGCAAATCAGTGACTCAGCGAGCTCTTTACAGTAAATACAGGACGCTGTGCAGGGCGAAGTTACAACAAGGTGCTGACAGTGCAAACATTTAAAGAGCCCTAACAACAGAAAGGGAAAGTGCAGCTCAGATCGGTTGAAAACAGGGGTGTCCAAACGCCGGTCATTTTGAATCGGCCCTCAGCAAATTCAAAATGTATAATGTAATACGGCCCACAAATGAAACTTCTGATTGTCTTATATTGTACTTCTTAAAAAATATATGTCCAAATATATTACACAGTAGTATTCATGTGTTAATAAGTCCACTTTTCAAATAAACTCAGTCAATTAAAGTTGATAAGATAAAAGCCCAATAACTTATTTTCATAACAACCTTGAAACAAAGCCTTCACATTTCCTCTTATTATAATCACTCTGAAGCTTCTGTTTTAAGGAATGAGCTGCTAACGAAATAAATGAAACCCTCAGGAGAGCTGTTCTTAAAGCATTTTCAAGTATCAAGAATAATTTACCTACATTGGATTGACTTTTCCAACTTATAACTTGACTTATGAGCCAAAATACCTCTAGGGAGTGGCCCAGCCCTTCGTATATTTTTCTGTATGTGGCCCTTGGTGAATAAAGTTTGGACACCCCTGGTCTAAAAGGAGAGAGGGGGGTTTCTCTGTGGGGGCAGACCAGATGCACAGTTTGTCGCAGCGTCTCCAAGAGTTATGTGTCAGAGATTTGTGAAATTCCTTTGTCCAGGGGGTGGGGACAATCTAAAACATGACCTCTGGTGTTGTTATGATGTTGCTACTGGGAACGCGTTGTGTTGAGTGTCTGTCTCTCTAAATGTTTGATCACAAAACTTTTACTAAAATACAACTTTTTGTCCGTTTCTAATCCGGCTCCTCTCTGGATTGCCTGGCTTTAAGGAAACAAAACGTATTTCTGTAGCTGATAGAGGACTTTCAATTATCCCATCACCACTTGACTCTAAAATGGTGGAACAAGCTCCCCATTAATAAAGTGTTTTAGGAATAAGTCCTCAAACCTGGAAATTAGTCAGCACTTCAGCATTTCTGGTTCCCTGGTCTCAAAGTCAATGGTTTTTTTGAATGAGATTTTCACGTTTGGTTCTACGACACAACATATGTCAAATTCCCCACTGCGGAATTTTAAACCGGCAGTTGCTAACAAGTGACTAAATGAGACGACTAAACGTCATCACGCCGAACATTTGCCACCTTTAGCTTAGCGGTGGTGACGTGAAGTCATGTGACTGTGCTGTAGTTCCTTTATAGCCCAACATTAGCCACCTTTAGCTTAGCGGTGGTGACGTGAAGTCATGTGACTGTGCTGTAGTTCCTTTATAGCCCAACATTAGCCACCTTTAGCTTAGCGGTGGTGACGTGAAGTCATGTGACTGTGCTGTAGTTCCTTATAGCCCAACATTAGCCTCCTTTAGCTTAGCGGTGGTGACGTGAAGTCATGTGACCGTGCTGTAGTTCCTTTATAGCCCAACATTAGCCGCCTTTAGCTTAGCGGTGGTGACGTGAAGTCATGTGACCGCGCTGTAGTTCCTTTTATAGCCCAACATTAGCCACCTTTAGCTTAGCGGTGGTGACGTGAAGTCATGTGACTGTGCTGTAGTTCCTTTATAGCCCAACATTAGCCTCCGTTAGCATAGCGGTGCTGAAGTCATGTGACCGTGCTGTAGTTCCTTTATAGCCCAACATTAGCCTCCTTTAGCTTAGCGGTGGTGACGTGAAGTCATGTGACCGTGCTGTAGTTCCTTTATAGCCCAACATTAGCCGCCTTTAGCTTAGCGGTGGTGACGTGAAGTCATGTGACCGTGCTGTAGTTCCTTTATAGCCCAACATTAGCCGCCTTTAGCTTAGCGGTGGTGACGTGAAGTCATGTGACTGTGCTGTAGTTCCTTTATAGCCCAACATTAGCCTCCGTTAGCATAGCGGTGCTGAAGTCATGTGACCGTGCTGTAGTTCCTTTATAGCCCAACATTAGCCTCCTTTAGCTTAGCGGTGGTGACGTGAAGTCATGTGACCGTGCTGTAGTTCCTTTATAGCCCAACATTAGCCGCCTTTAGCTTAGCGGTGGTGACGTGAAGTCATGTGACCGTGCTGTAGTTCCTTTATAGCCCAACATTAGTTTGTTACTTCTGGAGCTTGCATTTTTATTGTTATACTCTTCAAACATTGTAAAAGTGGTGTCAATATGTGGAGATTATCCTACTGACCAATATGGATAAGTATCATACATGGTTGTTTGCAAAAGAGCTTATTTTCTGCAATATTTCAAAATCTTATTTATTTTTTTGTAGAGGGAACCCTTGCGATGCTAACATCCAAGTAGGATTTCAAATACATCGTCATCACGGCACCACTCCATATCAGGACTGCAACAAGTCTACACATCTGTTGTTGCAGAAGGAAAACCCACCTTTTTTTGACTGCACATATAAAAAATATAGCATTCTCGCTATATGTCTCCTCAAGGTTGATTACTCTTATTATAAATCACTTTGGATAAAGAGTCCGCTAAATTTGATGTGATGTAATACAAGATTATCAGCTGTTCCTCAGGGCCTTATTTCCCCCTGGTGTTTTTGGGGAAGTCTCACCGCTGACAGATGGCCTGCGCCTCCTTCATGGTGTTCCCTGCGGTCTGGATGTGTTGGGGGTCAAAGGTCATCATGGCCTGCATCTCCAGGATGGTGGCGTAGGTCAGAGCGTGGTACATGCTGTCTTTGGTTCTGTAACAAAAAGAAAAATAGACATTAGTTTGTTTATTATATAGCAGGAGGAACCTAAGGATATTAAAAGGGGAACTATGCTCATTTCAGGTCCATATTTGTATTTAGTGTCTCTACTGTGATAGGTTTAGTTTATTATTTTATAGTGTCGTGGACAGTCCCCATTGATCAACGGTCACACAAAACAGTAAATGGGGCAGCTTTAGCCAACATTGTTAATTTCCAGCTGTTGTCTCTGGCCAGATGACATCTTTTTAAAATCACAACACATCAACAACATTTAAGAAAGTATAAAAGACAAGTAGATACAGGCGAAAGGATAAAAGACAACAATAAAATGCAAACAACACACGTTACTACATACATGTCACATGCTTTAATGTTTAAAAAAGGTCTTTCTTTTTCTTTTACATGAACAAAAACCTTTATAAAACACTACAGGAAAGGGAAACCCCAAAAAAGCACTATAGGGCCTCTTTAAGTAATTTTTTCAATTCAAGACTGTAGTAGTTTTACTTTCAATTAAGTTAAAGTACTGTCGAAATGACCCAATGTTGGAGCACTGATAGCACCATTATAAAAACGCGAGAAAGGTTATATACTTGAAGACTAAAGCCACATCACTACACAGGCGTAAAAAACCTTAAGTGTCTATTTATATCTGCGGCTGCTGGTGTGTCGCGTGACGCGTCACACCCTGTGTTTGAGCTTCTAGCTGATATGTAGGAGGAGTCATTCCGTTGCATGTGACAGACACATTTTTCCAGTAGATGATCTTGTTGTTCCAGTTATACACTATTACTTACAAGAAAGACTTAGAGGAAAGCATTTTAAACAAAAAAAACTAAAACATAGGTGGCTTAAATGTACTGTCGCACACATGGACTAACGCAAATCATTCTTTTTATAAAGCGTAAAGGCAGAGGTGACAGAGAAGTCTGCATTAACAATGTTTCACTGCTGTTCACCACGGACTGAACCATGTGATCAGCTGAGATGTAACTCTGAACTACAACCAGTCGTATGTCATGGAAACTTCATTTGCATAAACAGATTTTTCAACCTATGGAAATGTAACACAAAGAGACGCCGCCACGACCTCGAAGAGTTAGTAAAAAATAAATGACCTGTTAGTAAATATATATACTGTGTTTTAGTTCTGAGAAAATTCTGAATGCTGAGAAAAAAAGGCTGAAAGTCAAAATTCTGACTTTTTTCTCCCAAAAATCTGAAATTTCTCAACAATTCTGACTTTTTTTCTACAAAAGCTCAGACTTTTTTATGCAGTCAGCACTTACGTCAGGTTATTTTTTCAATAACGACCGCCTCGCTGCACATCATCCCTCACATAATGTGCTATAAAACAGATTATGGACATAGATTGTTCCCTTTTCTTATCCAGCGAGTAAAGAACAACTAACTCAATAACAACAAGGAAGCAAAAGACAGTCAGAGAAGGCGGAAGAACAGATGGAGACGCAGAAAAAATGTCCTGCTTTACATTTCCGTTGTGTCAGGTTTATGTGAGACAGCAGCTGAGAAAACCTCTAACGCGGAGCTGTGAGGGATTTCAACTGTTTGTAGATGTAGCGGCCAAAATCATATAGAAATAAAACAGATAATTAACTTAAAATAATACAGCCGCTGAGGCACTAGTTAGCAGATCTTACGCAGAGCAATGATCCAGGTCCAGACAAGATTCTCCATTTGATTCAGATAACAAAGTACAGGTTTCCTATATCCCTTTTCCTTAAGCCTTTCCTATGGCTTTCCTTTTGCTGGCTTGAAACACCCTGCGTAAGATTTGCTAAGCCTCAGCGGCTGTATTATTTATTTTAAGTTAATTATCTGTTTTATTCCTATATGATTTTGGCCGCTACAGTAGCCGTGGTCAAAGAGGCGGAGAACTCCAAATATTTCACAGCAGCACTCTGATATTTTTCAATCAGCATTAACTCAGAGAGAGGGCACAAAGGTCATCTTCTGCTTCCACCACAATGCTCCATGCTGGAAAGAGTTGTACTTCCTCAACAAAAAAACCTATATGAAGTGGTGGAAAGTAACTAAGTATATTTTCTCAAGTCTTTTTTGGACATATTTGTACATGAGTATTAACAAGAAGTGCAGTAATGGTCAGAGCGTAAATACATGCAAAACTGCTTATACACCTTACTAGTACAGCTAGTGTGGACTGAAACTAACTAGATGTACTAGATTACAATGCTTTAAGTCAATCTTGAGGTACTTTATCTGTACTTGAGTAGTTTTTTTTGTTGTCAAAATTAGCAAATGAACAGAAAATGGTACATTTCTGTATAAACTGAAACGTTGACCCTCAGGCACAACTTATCGCCAAGAAGCACTTCAATCACTTCGCTGTATTGCACTTTTGTATATGTACTATACGTCATACTTCCACACAAAACCAGCCCCTCCCTCCCTGCTGCAGAATGGGGGGGAATGGGGCTGGACGGTGTGATTGAGGGAATAAGATTGCACCATTTTGTCTGCACTCGGTCTGGTGGCATGTTTGAACAGAGAGCTGGCAAATAAAGTGAGCTGCTGCTGGAAAACCTCTGAGATTTTAAGCTGATCACTGAGCAGACATGTCTCCACAACCAGGAGCCTGCAGCAGCTCACAGAGGAGGAGGAGGAGGAGGAGGAGGAGGAGGAGGAGGAGGAGGAGGAGGAGGAGGAGGAGGAGGAGGAGGAGGAGGAGGAGGAGGAGGAGGAGGAGGAGGAGGAGGAAATACAGCCTCAGTATCTGAAGAGAGAGTCCTATAAGATAGGCTCCAGCAGCCAATGACCATAAACACGAATCTAGGGGTCAAAGTAATGGATGTGTTTAAAGTACATTCAGACGATCAAAGCTGTATCAAAGAGTAGGCTATCTTAAGTAGTTTAGTTTCAGTGTGTGTCTTTGTGTGTGTGTGTGTGTGTGTGTGTGTGTGTGTGTGTGTGTGTGTGTATTATTCCTGACATTTAATCTGTTTACACAGTTACATTTTGGGTCCTTGCTTCTCCTTAGGTAAAAAAAAAATGCAAGTCCCCATAATTTAAATGTAACGTAATGTACATATTTTCAGGTAGTGGTTAACTTAGGGTAGTTTCCATCAATTAAGTCAGTGTTAATTTCTCAAGAGGGATGGGAAGTTGGGAACAAGTGTGTGTGTCTGCGTGTGTGAGCCCTTAAAAGTGCATTTACATAAACAAGTTCACCCATTCACACACACACACACACACACACACACACACACACATTCATACAGAAGCACAGGCTGCCACCTCACAAAGGGAGACTAGCATTCACACACATTCACACACCAATGACCAATTAAAGGTTAAGTATCTTGCTCAAGGAAACACGGACATCGACATGTGGACTGCAGTGGCTGGGGATCGAATATATATGTGTGTGTATGCGTGTGTCGCATTGCAGGGAGACATTAAAGTATTTTTTTATTTCACTCCTGCATACGGTCATCGGGTAAAACTGGCGCTGTTGCACGACTCCAATAACAAAGACTCAAGCTGCGTGTGTGTGTGTGTTGCGTAGACTCTAGTATAACCTTGTGCCACCTGACTGCGTCACAGCAGGTTGAATGAGGAAAGGACATTGAAGAAGAAGAGATTTTGAAAACACACATGGAATAAAGCAGACAAACACGATGGGAGGAACGAGGAAAGATCCTGCCGGCGTTTCACTTCCTTGAATCTGCTTTGTTCTGCAGAGTATCTCTCTCACAATGCAGCAGATGTCATCACACCTTACATAATGTTACATAATGTTGATCCCGCAAGCCTTTTTCTGAAGCAGCAAACAGGAAAATCAGACAAGATTGAGGGTGTAGTAGCTATGTGTCAGCAAATAAAAACAAATAAAACAATCAAGCAGGATAAAGTCCATTTTCCAGGCAAGCATTTTGTCGATCAAATATATAAAGAACAATGGCTCTAGGCTCTCTTTTTTCTTGGTAAAACAATATATGCTTTTCCGGTGCCCTCACTCCTCTACCCGTCTCCAACATATACCAAATCCCCTGTCAGTGCTTGTCTTCAAAACAAAAGGATAAACAACTATTCAAACTGAAATAGTGACAATAAATAATAAGCGATTTACTACAAACAAAAAAGCCAGAAAGTAAATGTATATTTCAGTGGCGAGCCGTGACTTTTATACCTAGGCCCTCTGACCCCCCCTTCCCTCGAAACAAAAGAAGAGTTATTACGTCACAGTATACATATATATATATACAGTCTATGGTCACAGCGTATACTTCAGCGGAATATCAAAACAGCGGCCCGGGGTGCAAAACGCATCAATGACAGCGACCCTCTACCACACAAAACAACACCATTTATATAAACACCTATCATGACAGGGCACCCACAGCCAAGTAACAATTACAAATGAATTAAGTCGGCACGGCGGCCCACATTGAAAATGAATTAGGCCTACCTTTGATGATCAAATCACTGAAACACAAAGTCCATCCTCCTGTCCTTTCGGATGAAGCACTTGATGGCGGGGTCATTCAGCTGATCCTTTGACACTCCAGTTTATCATTGTAACTCAATCTTGAAAATGACTCGGTTAATAATTTCGCAACCATCACTATCACTGAAGTGAGCTATCATGAACGAACTTATGCTAATTATAAATCTATCGATCATAAATCTATCGTTTAGATTTATGATTCGAAAATAATAAAAGTAGGGTAGACATGTGGATATTACCCGGCTGAACAAAACGTGCATTTATCTAACAGGTTCGTTTTCCACAGACCTTATTTCGAGCTATTTTCCAAAATCCTATGGAGAAATCCCACTGATTTCTGTCGAGGGAATCCGAGCGAAGCTTACCTCCGGGTTTTAGGACGCGTCACTGCACCACTTGCATAGACCTCACAGCGGGCGGAACTTGTCATAAAGTCCGCGAAAATAAAGCCCGCCCATTTAGAGGGAAGATATGATTGGTCAATTGTACTGTCGTTTGACAT